ATTATACTCCTGCTATGAGTGAAACCATCCGGTATTTTTCTTTCTCTTTCTGGCTTATCTCACTAAGCATGATCTTTTCTAGCTCCATCCAAGTTGCTGCAAAAGACGTGTGTTTCTCTTTTTTGGTTGCTGAGTAATATTCCATTGTATATATGTACCACTTGTTTTTAATCCAGTCATCTACTTTTGGGCATTTGAGCTGCTTCCATGAAAAACCAACTTTTACCCCTTCTCATATCACATTTTAACTTCCTCTGTGAAACTGTACCCTAAATTGTGGTTCATTAATGCCAAATGCTTAATTGCCTCTATTTGGAGGCTAACATGTATAGTGTTAGATGCAGGATCTCAAAAGTCATCTCACTTGTGAAGATTTGGTATCTCCTGGAAACACACAGGGCACCCCATTTGAACCTTTTGTACTCTGCTGCTCCCATGAGCCACTATTTCCTTCCACTGACACTGTCCGACCCAGCCCCAGCCTTCTTCCTTTTAGTTAAGGTCATCCTTTGCTTGGGATCAGTGCTGGTCTCTTCCAAAGACTGGCTTGTGGCCGAAGCTGTCCTGCAGCAGGGATTCCCTGGTTAGTGAGTATGGTAACAGGAGTTTTTTTGTGGGAGGGGGTTCCCCCCAATTCGAGCTGGTTTTATATAAGATTACTTTCCTTGTTGGTCTTGCAGATTCTTGCTAGGTCAGTGGCACCAACAATGATGAAAAACTTTCATGGCTACTGCTGGATACTTTTGAACTTCTAAAACCTTTTATGCTCCAGACTTGGAAACTGCAAATTTAAAAAGCTAACCAAACTGGAGAGTCATTTTAATTGGCATTTTAAAAACCTGCGATCTCTGTTCTCTTCTCCTTCTCCACCACCACCCAATATATTTGTGTCATTTGTTACAAGGAGGAAAACCATAAGGGTCAGATAAGGTTTTCCTTTTATCTATTTCTTTACATTCCAAGAACTTTGACCCCCAAATATGTTTGGCATTCGATTTGTAGTTATTACAAAACAAAACAAAAATTTAGGTAGGTCCAAATAAACAGAGGTATGAGTTAAACTCCTTTTGTAATTAGGGTTGTTACCAGACTTCAGAGAAATTGTCAAAGTCTTTGCTTTGGAATTATATTTGGAAATGCCTAAATTTTGGGGCTGTGGAGTTGTCAAATACTGCCTGGAATATTTTCCATGTACAAAAGTTGCTCCAGGGCATGTCAGGAAGAAGTGCTGGGCCCACAGGTCTGCTCATGTCTAGCTCTGTTTCCACAGTGAGTGTGCCCGGCCCCTCCCCTCTGCCAGGTCCAGCCCCTGTCCTGGAGCATCGTGATTAGCAGTTTTGTTGTGAAAATGCTTGAAGTTTTCCAGTCCATCTTCATATAGAAAGAGCAGTCTGTAGTCTTAAAAAGTTAACTTTTTAATTTCTTTTCTAGCTACAAAAGCAAGGCATATTTGCCATTAAGTATTTTAGGAAGTTCTCAAGTCATGAGACTCAGGAACCAGAAAATGAAGTCTCCTATAACCACTAATTAACAGTTCTGCATACAAACAAGGAAACTATCATCACCCCCCCCCCACCCCAAACACAAAGACACAAGTCATGTATCACCTTTCTGTTCAGAAAGGAGTTAAGAAAGGTACTTCTCCAGCAGGTATGTACTGGTTGGTAAATAACGTATGAACTTGCATGTGTCACACTCAGCCCTGTCTTCCCTGCAGAGAACCGCCTGATTCCCACCGAGTTACGACGGGAGGCTCTGGCCTTGCAGGGGTCCCTGGAATTCGATGATGCCGGCAGCGAAGGTGACCTTCCTTGACACTGTGCCAGCTCCCCTCTCTGCACTCCAGCCCACTGGCCTCCACATTCTTCAGTGCCTGAAAAAGACTACAGCTCCTGCTCTAGGAATTGTCCACAAGTGCCCTTGTGGCTCTGCACAGATGGTACTGCAGGGGAGTGCTCCCGGAGTGCTCGTGGTCCCATACATACATACCCACTTTCTATGCCCACTTACTCTCTGCTTTGTTAACTGTCCCCCTCCATAGGATCTGAGCTCTGCCGGGGCAGGACAGCAACCATTCTGTTCACTGCTGTGCCCCAACTCCCGGCACCCAGGTTTCATTTATTGCATCATTCAGCAAACCTGAGAGGATTCAAATGTTAGAAGTATTTCTTCTGAGGGAAATGAGTTTGTCATTTAGATATCCATTGTCATGGTTTCGCAGTAGCCTCTAGCTCTATATGCTGAATGTATAATTTAAATGCACTAAAATTAATTCAGATTTATAACTTCAGTTTCTCTGTCACATTTATGTTAGGCCAATGTGACTGGGGGTACCCTGTTGTCTAGTGTGGGCACGGAGCATCACCATCCTAGAAAGATTCGGCCAGTTTCAATTTAGCATTTCACTTTCCAAGACAATGTCATGTTCTTGCCCTTCGTGGTCCCAGGTGTCACCAGCCATGTGGATGACGAATATCGATGGGCTGGGGTTGAGGATCCCAAAGTCATGATCACTACCTCCCGTGACCCCAGTTCCCGCCTCAAGATGTTTGCAAAGGTACGAGTATTGAGGGGTTGGGGTGCTTGTGGTGTGTGGGGGAGTCTTGAGACCATCGGCCCCCAGCCCTGATCAGACTGTTGTTGTGCAGGAGCTGAAGCTGGTGTTCCCAGGTGCTCAGCGAATGAACCGTGGCCGGCATGAGGTGGGGGCACTGGTACGAGCCTGCAAGGCCAATGGGGTCACCGATCTGCTCATTGTCCACGAGCACAGAGGCACACCTGGTAAGGCTGGTGGGGGTCGCGGGGTGTCTGCTAGAGTGGCTGTCTGGGACCAGATAGGGTCTCTTAACTGAGTGTCTGGCCCTGCAGTGGGACTCATCGTCAGCCACCTGCCGTTTGGCCCCACGGCTTACTTCACACTGTGCAATGTTGTCATGCGTCATGACATCCCCGACCTGGGCACCATGTCAGAGGCAAAACCTCACCTTATCATGCATGGCTTCACCTCCCGCCTGGGCAAGCGGGTAAGTAGGGACCTCAGGGTGAGAGCTAGGGCTGGGGTAGGGTCACCAGGCTGGGCATTCACCACTTCCTTTCCCTCTCCCCAGGTGTCTGACATACTTCGTTACCTGTTCCCAGTGCCCAAAGACGACAGCCGCCGGGTCATCACCTTTGCAAACCAGGATGACTACATCTCTTTTCGGTGGGTCCATGGGCTGGGCCCTACAGCAGTGTCCTGATACTGTGTCTCCCTACTGTTGTTGACCCATGGCTGCCCCCTACTTCCCCTTACCCTAGGCACCACGTGTATAAGAAGACCAGCCACCACAACGTGGAGCTGACTGAGGTTGGGCCTCGCTTTGAACTGAAATGTGAGTTTGAGGCATTAAATCATGTGTGGGGTGGGAGCATGTTGGCTGTGCAGGTCACAGAGCACCCTCCCTTCCCCTGCAGTGTACATGATCCGCCTGGGCACTTTGGAGCAAGAGGCCACGGCAGACGTGGAGTGGCGCTGGCACCCATACACCAACACCGCACGCAAGCGGGTCTTTCTCAGTTCTGAGTGAGCCTGAATGGCTACTCTGGACCTGGACCTGGACCCGGCTGGGTTGGGGGTAGGGGGGTTGGCAGAATAAAGTATGTATGTCACACTGCTGTGTTTGCCTCCTCTCTGGCCATATTCCTATTACATACACAGGGTCCTGGTTTTACCCAGAGTAAATGTTAAAACCCTATGGAACACATACAGGTTGATCAGGGAAGTAATGACTATAAGAATTGCATCGTGCTGGCTGTTAGGACAGGCCTGTGAAGAAACAAAGCAGGCATGGAGCAAGAGAGGAAGGAGGACGTTGGTCAGTACTGTGGGCATTACTTGATGGCATGAAGGCACAGGGGCCCCCTACGTGGCCCATGCAAAGACTCTGAAATGGATGGTGCTTGTCACGGGAACAGAATTGGTCCAGTAAAGTGATTGGGGGTGAGGGTGAGCAGGGTCCCGCAGCTCCACAGCACTGAGGGAGAGGAGGAGCTTATGCCTCATGAGAGGTCTGTGCAGAACACAGATCTAAACCCCTGAAGAGAGAGGAGACTAATAACAAAGGCCCTCCCAAAGGCAGTTAGTGTGCTGATGGACTCTAGCTGCCACATGTAACGAGAGGTTGGTGATTTCCTATTTATCAAGTGTCAGACTTGTAGGGATAGGTCAATAGCTCATTCCACCCAACCCATGCTTAAGAGTGAAATAACGGGGAAAAATTTTTTTTGTACTAATCAGAAAGAAAACTACAGTGGGGATATCTCAAAATATCTCCCCACAAACTTCTGGGGTTAAAGTGATGTCTGCAAGCTTTCTCCACTGTAAACTTACAATTTTCCTTTGCAGTAAACACCATCCCAGACATGGCCCTGGGATGTGTACCCCCATAGCCCTGCAAGTGGACCCCCATCACCCTTCAGTACTCTGTCTACTCAGCTCTGTGAAGTGACCAGCTCAGCAAGCACACCAAAATCGCAAGCATGTAGGGCTCAGGCTTCACAGGATATTTGGAGGCCACTGCCAGACTGTAGGGGGTACAGGGTGAACAAGCAGCAGGGAGTCCCATTCCAGAACACGGCTCAATCTCTTGGGTGAAGAGCAGTGGAGAGGGCCAGACTGTTGAAGGAGGTCTTGGTCTTCCCATTCCCCATACCCAGGCTGAACTCAACAGAGCAAGCCAGGAGAGTGTGGATGCAGGGGGAGATAGAGAGGAATGGTGACTGTCAAAAGGCTATAGGCCAGGTTAAAGAAGAGGACAAGAGATAGATGCCCAATCTAGCCAGAAGCATAAGTGGATTACAGTCTCAGCCACAAATGTTTGCAGATCCCAGTTAATTACGCAAAAAAAGCCATATCCAAACTAGACACACAGATGCCTAGCTAGACATCTGTGTATCTAAATGTAGACAGATGGCCAGGGTTATTGTACAAGAAGGGAAGGCACTCAGCTAGGCATCCAGAAAGACCTGTGGCAAGACACATGGACATCTCTAGCCAATTGGAAGGTGACCCAAATAAATCAAAAGGCCATCAAGGATAGACAGCCCTCCCATCCACTCCCCACAACTAGACAAAGCCTGGCCCACCAGAAATACACCACCTATCCAGTCAAATAGCCAGACCTTCAGTTTGACAGACTTAACTTCTGCTAGTAAGAATCAGTAAAAACAAAGACTCTGAACAAGATAAGATTCCCCCAAGCCTACTAGAGAAATAGACCCTCTATCCAGATGGACAGATATACACATGCATTGATGAATCAGACACAGACCTAGAGCCCCTAGTAAGATCCCCAGCTTGGCATGACTCCCAGTTGCTGGGTCAGCTGTCCTGCATAAATGATACAGATGGCCCACTGACCCTCAATGCTGCCTCTGCTTCCCAGGCATCAATTTCTAGTAACCTAGGAACATCCACCAGGGTCCACAAAGATCTTTCAGGACACAGTGACTCCTGTCTGTTTACTCAGGTACTAGTCCTGAATGACTACCACCAGTATCCATGAGTACTCAGGAACTTGAGTCTTTATACTATCTATAGCAACAAACCTCCATGTTTCTCAGTGGTCCTGAGACTCCTGTATTCTGCCGCACTGAGACTCCATTAGCCCATGGCCATGAAATCTTAGCAACCCCCTCCCAAGAACCAGTTAATACATTAATCCACAGCCCGAACCAGTGATCTCTCAATGACTTCAAAGTACACCTCCCGCATTGGTCACCCTTCAACACTCAAAGACCTCAATCAAACTGGACTGCACAGAAGCCCTCCTGAGTTACATTCCTCCAAAATTTTTACATGCCCTGGGTCAAAAGTGGGCTAGCCCATCGGCCCATGGACCCAGACCAGTCCTGAGCAGGACCCCTATCCTTCTGTGCTCTCTCCAGCTTCTCCTTGGTGGCCCTGGCAGCGGGGCAGCAGTCCTCTGGCTTTTTCTTGCACATTTTCTGAAGATGAACGTGGGAGAACAAAAAAAGGGAGAGAAAGAGAAGCTCTTTAAAAGCAGTGAGAATACCTTGTCCCCTCAGGTCTCAGTTTCACAGAAAGGTCACGAGAATTGATATCCTCAAATTAGGACTGGATCTTGCCTGGCGCCCCCATTCCATCAAGCATAACCCAGAATGAGAAGGAACCTCTGCAAATACATAGATATAGAGGTGCCCCGTTTCCCTCGCACCGGTATCATTTCCCCCGACTTCCCTTGTGCAGATAGCCCGGAGCGCAACGCTCTCCGCCCGGGAACCGGAACCCGATCTCGGGGAACTTCTCCCCACCACCTCTGCCGCGCCTCTCTGGCTCCGACCCGAGGCGGTCTATCTCCTAGGAAAGCTGGTCCGGCACGTAGAAGGTAGTTGGAGGCGGGCCCCGGCGCGCATTCTGGACCCAAGTGCGACTGGACGTGGCGCGCAGCCACGACCCAAGTGCGGTAGGACATACTCAGCCAGCCAGCGCGACGGCCATTAACCCGGACGTGCGGGCTTTAGCCCCACTTCCCTGCAGCATCCCCAAAAGAAGGCCCGCGCCGCAGCTGGGGGCCAAGCGCCTGCGGGCCGGGCCCCACCGGTTCCAAGGGGCGTTGGCCGGGGGCGCGGCCCGCCTGCCGCTGCGCGCTCTCATTGGCCGCTGCGAGGCGAGGCGGGGCCGGGCCGCCAGCCAAGGCTGCAGCGTGAGCGCCAGCGAGCCGGACCCCGGCGCCCCGACGGACCTCGCGGGCTGGCGGCCGCACCATGAGCCGGAGCTGGGAAGCGGTGCGGAGCTTCCTGGAGCAGCTGGAGGCGCGGGGCGGCCAGGAGGGGGCTGTCCTCGCCGGCGAGTTCAGCGTGAGTGCAGCGGGTGGACGCGGTGGGCGCCCCTGCCCCGCCCGGCTCGGGGGCCAGACTTCTGCCCGAGTGCGCTCGGCCGCGCTGGCTCTCTGGCACCCGGAGTCTATGGAGAATCCTAGCTTCGAGCGCACTCTCTCTCTGCCCAGCCTCACTCTGCTGCGCGCCCTAGGGGTGTCTAGGTTCGCCCGCACGCTCAGGATCCCCGAGGCGAGGTCCAGAAGTTAGGCGGGGTCGTACACGCCCTTGGGCTGCTGGCCCCTTGCTGTACTGCGCGAGCCGGCCGGCGGCGGGGAAGGCGGCGGGGAGGGCGGGCCTCCCCAGGTGACTCGAAGGTCAAGGGTGCGGCCTGGAGAGAGGAACCAAGAGGCCCTGCTGGGAGCGTTGGGTGGAAGGGCTCTAACAGAGCGGCTCCTCGGGTGAAAGACTAACTTCAGTAACTAAACTGGCCTGAGGTTAAATAACCGACATTGGTGGAAAAGCGCGTAGCGCACCCTTAGCGCTCTCTGTGTGGGCGCCTCTGTCGCTACTTCTGAGGATTCTAAATATTCTTATGGGGTAGTGCAAACCTGGTGTAAAGGGGCGCTAGTGCAGCGTATTAGGCACCGCTTACTACAGGTAATTGAGATTGTTTAAAAAGATTTATCTATTTATGCACTTTAGAACTGGGGTACAGGCCAGAGGTGGGGGGGTGGTTGTTGGGAAGATTCGCCAGGGACAGAGTGAGGAACAGAACAGGCAGATCTACTGAAATACATTGCTGAAGGGAGCAGCGGATGAGTCAGGAGCCATAAGCCACGCCATGTGGGTCACCTCCCTGGTCTGGGATCCAACTTGTGCTGCAGTGGCTGCAGATAGCTTCATCATGCTGCTCTTTAACCCGCTGACCACCAGGGAGAGCCAGGTAATGAGATGTTTTAAATATAGTAACTTAGCTAACAAGTATAGAAACATTCTGTGCAAATAGGTAAACATCAAATTGATAAATATCAAATAAGTGGTAAGTATGTGCATATAAATTATATTATAAACAGCTATGTAATTAGGTACAGCAAATTGACTGATATAAAATAGTGAATACTTAAAAAATAAATGATTGTAAGTTACACAAAAAACAAATACAGCATATAAAGCTATCATTTATAAGATAAGCAGTTATTCAGTAAGTTTCTAAGTAATTACAAAATATAATTTAAAAGTATACATCTAATTTACACAAATAAAAAGTATAAATCTGATTTACACTAATATGGATATTTGTGGATATTTATGGATTTACACAGTGGATATTGTAGTATAAGAAATGTCTAATAAATGCAAAATATATCATTTGTACAATGTGAAAGTATATAAAGATGTAGGCATAATACCAGGTGGAGTATGAGGTCATGCCCACAAAGCTTGAGATGGCAGGCAGTGTAACAGTTTGAGTGGGGGGCACAGGTGGATGCTGAAAGAGGTGAGTTCTACCCACTCTGTACCTGGTGGGACCTTGGTAAGTCATTCTTAGTTTTTGATCTGCAAAGTGGGGACCTTGAGATGACAGTATAAACTTCGAGGCTGGCGGAGGGGTGAGGATCTTTGTGATAAGCCCTTAGCCCAGAGAATGTCTTTGCATTGTATTTTTACAGCCAGCCCTGTACTAGACCAACTGCCTTGCACCCCTAGGAGTCCCTCAGGATTCCAGGCCTCTGACCTACCTTTTCTCTTCCTCCGCCTCTGTTCATTCACCATACCTCCTACCAGGATATCCGGTCCCGCTCAATCTCCTGGAAGACTGACAATGTGTACTCCACGGAGGCTGGCTGCCAGCCGGAAAATGTGAAGAAGAACCGCTACAAAGACGTGGTGCCTTGTAAGTTGGGGCAGGGGGTAAAGTGGTCTTTGGCCCAACTCCCATGTGCAGATGTCAGCACAAAAACTGCCCTGCTGTCTTCCAGCCCCCTTCTCCCACCATCCCTAACCCCACACAGCAGCCCCTCGGTACACCTGGTGGGCTTCCTGCTGGATGTACCTTCCCGCTGCTGGCTTGTATCCAAGAGGCTGTCAGGACTCTGATGTCCCCAAAACCATGTTTCTCATCTCTCCCATTGGCAGATGATCAGACTCGAGTGATCCTTTCCCTGCTTCAGGAGGAGGGACACAGTGATTACATCAATGGCAACTTCATCCGGGTCAGGCTGGGGATCAGGGAAGGGGGAAAGGGTAGGGGTGACAAGGTGATCTTGGTGGTAAACTTAACCTTCACCAGGGCTCAGATGGCAGTCAGGCCTACATTGCCACACAAGGACCCCTGCCGCACACGGTGCTGGACTTCTGGCGTCTGGTCTGGGAATTTAGGGTCAAGGTCAGCTTTGGGGAAGGGTGAGGTGGGGCTGGCTTTCTTAGTCTTCTCTTGTTCCTCTCTTGTTCCTATTTCTCTCACCCCCTAACTCAAATCACCTCCTTCTCTCCTTACCCCTCTTGTCCAGGTGATCCTGATGGCTTGTCGAGAGGTGGAGAATGGGCGGGTAGGTGTCCTTAGACCCCTGGAATGCACACCCTTGTTCCTGGAGGAAAGTGGGAAATGCTGCTAGCTGTCTCCCTCATCCCAGGATTCAAGGGCCCGATGTTTTTGCAAGTAAAATACATTAGAACACAGCCCACTCATTTGCTGGGGTACTGTCTATACCTGCTTTCATGCTAAAATGGCAGAGTTTAGTGTTTGCAAGTTAAGTAGATTGTCAATATTTATTATCTGGGCCTTTATAGAAAAAGTTAGCCATGACCTCTCAGTGTTGTTATATTTGTTAAAAACTCGCTTTAGTTTTTATTCATTTTCTTGTTTTTCATTTTCTATTTTATTAATTCCTCGTCTTGATAATTTGCTTTCTTCTAGTTATTTTGGTTCAATTTGCTCTTCATTTTTTCATTTCTGAAGCTTAAATCATTGGTTTGAGGTTTTCCTTTTTTCTGTAAGAATTGCAGTAGCTGTATCTCAAAAACTTGGTATGATGTATCTTCTTTTTCAACTAGTTCAAAATATTTTCTAATTTCTCCTTTGAAACATAGTATTTGACCAAGGCTGATTAGTTTCCAAATCTTAGGAGGAGGGGGTTACCATGTATCTTCCTACTACTACCTTTTAGTTGGTTCCATTAACTAAATGGCATTAGTTAACAGCCTTCTAAAGGTCCTGAAATGTTTTATGACCATGAATATATCTAACTCAGTAAATAATCTGTGTGAGCTTGAAAACATTATATATTCTGCTTTATTGAGTGGGTGAACGTTCTGTAAATATCAAGTTGGTCAAGTTTGGGCTGAGTCTTTTTTGAAACACTTCTTTATTATCGCCTCTGTATTTACTATATTACATATCTACTGATTTCTGTAAATTTTCTATCAGTTG